CTGCTGCAGACAAAGGTATGGAAGATTTAAAGCTAAAAAAGCAAAACACAGGCACTTTTTGCCATTGATGAATCAAGATTTTGCACTTTTATCTCAAACTTTTGAGGGACTAACTGAAAATTCTGAGAAAATACTGCTTAAAAGCTCAAATTTAAAGACACACACACACACACTCTACTGCTGCACTTTGGGTTCGACTCGGGTACCGGCCGGGTGCACAGTAATAATTTGATTCGGATCAGCTGGCCCAACAATCCGGAGACTTTCCTGGGTGCCGCCATGACTGTCATAGTGATATAATATCATCCAGTCAGCTGTGATGCATAGCATGCTGGGAAAATTCTCCACAGATGAATCTGGGTGAGCGTAGTGGCAGTGGAGGTGGTGCTCTTTAGAAAACAGCTGGAGACCTGTTGTGGCACTTGGAGTCAAAGAGGACGCAACCTGTGACACCAACCAGTGCCCTAATGTTTTGTCGACGCCCCACCTGAGCTCCCTTCTCCTCACTGAATGAAAACTTTATCCCAAATTTCTTCCTAAACTGCTCTACATGGATAGTTATTCCCACCTTTAAGTAATTTTGTCAAACTGCCTGAACTACAAAGTTCAGCGCTACTTTAGTTTAAAAAAACAGGCTAAATACTGATCATTGGTTCAGTTTTTTTCCATAGTGGTACCATACCAACTCTATTTAAGCCCAAGAAAAGATTTATTCATCACTTTTATTCATCACAGTTATTCTAGCATTTATTAAATTTAAAACATCAGCTACTCACTCTGTGATTTGAAAGTTTGTTGGTTTTCTGAACTGTGCTTGTACGTGGTTACTTTAAAGACCTCAGTCACCATTTTCTTGTGAATGCTTGAGGCTCAGGTTTCAAAAGCCTTATTGCAGGATCTGGGCTATGATTGAAAATGCTGTTTTCAGGTTTTGAGGCTCTGGACTCGAAAAAGCAAAGGATTTGACTCTAAATTGCATTTGGAGTTAGGAAGCAGACTGACAACCAATTTAGTCAAAAGGAAAAGATACAGCAAAATACTGTGATTACACAATTGGCAATAAGGATGAGGAAAAGCATTTTAATTTCCATGAAACTGCTTAAAAAATGCAATGTTAATAGAACTGTTACCTAATGATAACCTAATAATGTGGTTATTCATAATAATAATAACAAGAAGAACTAGAATAATTGCTTCATGTGCACCTCCATCAAGTAGTCATGTCCAGAACTTTAGGATCTAAAATATAATTTTTCATTCTTTTCTACATTTGTGCTTCTTATCAGCAAATCAGCCCTTACCTTTTGGCCTTCATCATGGTCGTCTTCATCTTTGGCTTTTGGCCATGAAATTCTAATCAGTTCACCCTCCAGTCTAAAGAGTAAATTTAAAATGTTTACATCGGACTGAAGAAAGACAAACATACTCTGATTTTTATTTTCATATTTTTAAAATATGAAATTTAGAGCTGTTATAAGAAATAATGGAGAAATAATACAAAAATTATTTTAAGAGTGTTTTCATATTTATTTATAGTTTCCTTCCTTCTATTGAATTTTAAAGAATAATGAAAATGGTATCAACAATAAATAAATCACAGTAATTAAAAGACGAAATTCAAAATATACTAAAGATTTAGAGACACTAAATGTTTTAAAATGTGTTTTTCTTTTGCTAAAATGTTACAAAAAACAAAAATAAAACCAGAATGTGAGATTTTTAAATGAAGTATTTAAATGTTAAAGTAATTTATATAGATAAACTAATTTTGTTTAGTTATTTTTTATCTTACAAATTAATGCCTAATAATAAGTCCACTAATTTTAGCTCTCTAAAATTAGTAATTTGATTCCAAACTTACCAAACCTCAAAGTTGCCCTGCTTGGCTTGAACACTTGTCCTCCCTCCCAGGACTCCCAGCATGCCTTGCTGCTATGGGTGGGGCTCATGTGAGGGTGAATCTATATTTAGCTGCCCCTGGACCTCCTCCTCGTCACTCTTAATACCCCTCAAACTCCCTCTGTGTGTGCTCTGGGTGTATTTTGGGGAGGTTGAAACTCAACACCAATATGCAGTGGACAGTAATGACACACATTTGTACATCTGTCTTTGCGAGGACGTTATGCTGCCGTGATTATGAGCCGAAACCTAAGACTGTGTCCTGAAACAGGTCTTTGGAGGTTTGTCCCACTATGAGGACTGACCAAAGTGTCCTGATATAGTTGGAGATTTGCACAGGTCCTCGCAAAGATAGATAAACCAGCACAGTCACGAACCATTACAGAGCAAAACTCGGGTTTGATTCATGATTTTTTTCTCTACTGACCTGAATGGACCATGACTTTTACGCTTTTCTTCAGCGTGCATGTTTTAGATGAAGAACAAGTTTTTCCTGATGTGTGATGATTATATTCTTGGAGAGTTATAAACAGACTAGTGGGGAAGTCCCCTCTGAGTGTTGATGTTGGTTTGTGTATCCGTCAGAGGATTAGGGCGGCAGGTGGCAGAGGTGTAGGTGTTGTGGATGCTCGTCCATGTGCTTGCAGTCAGTCATCTGATCAGATTAGCTGCTGACCTTCAACTAACAACAGAAGAAAAAAACTGAAGCCAAAAGATGTCACTCATACTTATCATTACTAAGAAATTCAGTAAATAAATTGTTTAAATTACCTTTTGAACAAAATAAGAAATTATAAAATGAAAGCACTTGTAGAAACAAATTCAGAAAGTAAGGGAAACATTTAAAAACTATCTAGAAAATATAACTGAACAATAGTAGAAACTGTTTAGAAAAGATCAAACAACCCAAAACATACAAAAATCCAGAAATTCAATTATTATTAATATTAAAATTAATTAAAAAAAACATTTTAATTTTATTAAAATCATTAGAAAATAAAACTAAAAATATATTTATATGAAACATAAAACAATACATAACTAAAAAGTAGCAAACATCATATAGAAAGAAAATTGAAAAACACTGTCATTTCAAAAAACTGTCGGGTCACAGGACACAGAGGCTTTGACCTTTGACCTCACACCTGCTGACTCTGCCCTAATTTTAAAAGATGCCATAGATGAAGTGAATTCTCTTCTAAAGATGTCGCACACACAGCACTCAGATGTATTGTGATACAGCTGGTTCATGACTTATAGAAGGACTGGAACATGAATCTGTTCTCACTGTTTTGTTGCCATCAGTTTGCTTCCATCTGTGTTCTTTTGTCTGGGTTATTTTTCACTGCTTTGCATTTACATTTAGTTGTTTTTTTTGTTTTTTTTCACTGGTTTGTGTCATTTGCAGTTTATTTTTAGTCCATTTATTTCTCTGTCTGTGCTCAGCTTGAATCTCTCTTGGGTTATTATGTGTCTCTTTCCTGTCATTTAGTTTCTGTTTGCTGTAGTTTTTGAATCTGTGTCTATTTTTTCATATTTTTAGTTGTTTTGTAAAAAGTTTTCTTCACTTTGCGCTTGTTTAGTATTTTGATGTCCATCTCTTTTTGTTGTTTTGCATCCTTTGTGAATTTTTCTGGACATTTTTCTTTTCTTTCTGGTTATTATCTTTTGCTTCATTTTTGCACCTCTTGTCTTGCTTTGGGTGTTTTTTGTATTCTGGCATGCTGTTTGGCTTTGGCAGCAAACATTTGGCAGGTTTTTCATGAGCACAAACACACATACAGAAGTCTACTGGTCAACCCTCAAATGCATCTTCCTTACAAATGTGGCACCATCTAAACAGGCCATGAAGCAAAGTTACAACAAATAAATAATCGACCAAACAGTAATGTCCGTAATTCTTACATGTGGTCCCTTTGTGTCTCTGCTTCTGCTTTTGCACCTGTCTTTAAAATTTTCTCTGTCCTTTTTGGTCATTTTTCATTTTTATTCTGGTTACTAAACACTTTTTTCTTTACAGTTATTTAGTTTGTACTTTAGTTTTCTTGGTTATTTTCTGTTTGTTTTTTTCAGTTTCAAATGTGGTCATGTTTTGTGTCCATGAAAAAAATTCATATCTCCTTTTTTGGGTTATTTTGCATTTCATCTAAACAGGAACTATTTGGCTTAACTTTTCTTCATGTTTGTTTGTGGGTGTTTTTGCCTCTTTCTATTTATGTTAAATGTATAGTTTTGCATGTTTTTGTATCATACTGTGATGCATTTGCATCTCTTCCAGGTTGTTTTGTGCTCATTTTATACGTGTTTATGTGTATTTTGGGTTTTTTTTTGGTGTGTAACTTCCAGAGGGTGCATTAGGGAATCCTGTACTACCCAATTCTTACCTGGGTACATTGCCATGGTAACTAATGGTGTCCATACCTAATCTTCTTGGAGCGGGTTGTAATGAGCATGACATCACTGCGTACTGTGCAATCAAGTCCCAGGTGTAATATTACCTGGAGAATATTTTGGATCTCTTTACAATTAACTGTGAGGGTCTAAAGTTTTTTTTTTTTTCAATAGCATCTAATGTCTTTGTGTTTCCCTGATGAGCATCAGTAACAAAGGTAAAATCATTCATTTGTACTTGTGGACTTTCTGTCAAATTTGCACATTGAGCTTATATTTGAAAACTGTTGTATTCTTTACCATTAAACACCACAAAGGCTGCAACTGAATGAATTTATGGGTATATGGTATGTTGAACCTACTATTTAGTAAACTGCTTTCCAACTTGAAATTTCAAGTGATTCACTGGCACACAGGTCCCCTTAAGTCCTTGGGCTCCATGGATTTGCTGTGTAAACCTGTTTTAGTCCTTCCAGGACTAAATACCCTAATCCTAATTCTGAGTTCAAGCTGAAATTTAAAAACAAGTTTTAACTCACATGTCCTCGCTGAAGCTGACACACACAGCTGGTGTTAACCACAGACGTCAACTGGCTATGACAGTGGCCTGAAAATAGACCGCTACATACCTCCACTTATAGATCTAAAATAGCCACAGAAATAAAATGTGTGACTAGATCAATCACCGTGTCCTCTTGTGTTCTCTGCAGGTCTTGCAGAAGCTTGGCAAAGCAGATGAGACCCGAGATGTTGTCTTTGAGGAGATGGTGGCCAACTTCAACAAGCAGATGGTTTGGAGACATTTTTAACTTCCGCACCTCTGATGCTGCTGATGCCCATAAACTGCACTTGTTAATGTCATAACATATTTTATCATAGTGCTTTATTTTAGTTTATCCTCTAATTAGCATAAATAAATCTGCTTAGTAGTATTTTAATTAGATTAATAATAGTTGTTGCAACTCTTGTAATGTTCCAGTTAACATTAGTGCTAGGCAGCATAGAAGAAACATAACATATTAAACTAAAGTTAAACCAAAGGTCATATGCTTTTTAGCATCCCTAGCACCTCAACAGTGACTTCCTGTGTGATTTACCCTTCACAATAAAGTAACATTAAAGGAACGCATTGTACTTTCTGTTTCAGTGGGTTTTGTTTGTTTGTTTTTTTTTTGCTTGAATTTTATAATTGCTTTTACTAATTGTAGTTTTCATTTTTATTTACATTCAATTTTTGTTTTAAACATTGTTGTTGTTGCTCACTGTGCTTCCTGTTTCAGGGAGAAGGCACCAAACTGCAGAAGGACCTGAAAGCGTACCTGGCAGCAGTGAAAAGTAAGTTGGCAAAAAGGCTACAAGCTGTGCTTTAACATGTATCATAGCGAAGCAGCTAGTTTGTTTGATGCTGAACTCTCCAGTCGGTTCATATCACTTTTTAAGTCAATTGTAACCAAAACATGCTGCACACAGACACATTTATTATGGTTTCTTGAAGCTTTCATATAGTCTGTCTTTACAAACATTTGTGAAAGAATGGGTCGTTCTAAAGAGCTCACTGAATTTGAGCCTGGCTGCAACAGCATGTCACCATTACAACAACTCAGTTTGTAGATACTCCACAATCAACTGTGAGTGCGGTTACTGCAAACCGGAAGTGTGTAGGAACAACAGAACTCAGCCACAAGGAGACGGTATTTAATTGACTAGTGGACTAGTTGTGCATGTTTCTACTACAAAGAGATGTTAAGTGACCAAAAAATATGGATCAAAGTGATAATAAAGACACAAAAAACAGACTCAACACGAGAACACTGCAAAACAACAAGAGACAAGCAATACTATGAGAAACGAAACAAAATGTAAAATTACAATCAAGAGCGTAAATTATTTTTCTCTGGTCATCTTGTGTGTAATTATGTGTGTTTTTTCTGTTTGTGTTTCAGCCATGCATGACGCGTCGCGGCGGTTGCAGGACTGTCTGGCGGACATGTACGAACCGGACTGGTTTGGCAAAGAGGAGATGGACGCGCTGGCTGAGGTAAGACAGGAAATAAAAACATCTCACCCGAACTGCTCTCTTCTCTGTAACAGCATCCGTTCATTAGCTAAATGATATAGCTGTTTGATTATAACAAAAATATCATAAAAACTTCAGTCTATGGAGGGCCATAACCACCAAAATAACACAAATAAACAATAAAGATGCTATTCCACCAAATATGAAAAAGAAATATAAAACACGTGTTTCTGTTTATCTATTTATTTACTTATTTATGTGTTCAATAATTTTTAAAAGGTGGCTGTGGTCCTCCATACATTACTGTATTTCTCTTGTGTGACTCTTTCTTCGATGGCTTTTTCTTCTTTTTCTTCCCGCTAACATACTTAATTTCTTTTTCTTAACTGCATGGCTCTCTCCTTCCACCCTGAAGGAGTTGATAGAGAAGGAGATGGACATTAACCTGGAGGTAAAATATAGAAAACTTTGAGTGTGTCCCACAGATCTCATCAGGACAGATTGTTTTAAGAATCAAAACAGAGAGAAAATGTCTTTACTTCTACCAAAAAGCTCAGACTGGTGAGCATTCTTGAATTTTTAAACATATGACCGATGGAAAGTAAAAGCTTAAAACTAATTCTGGTGATCATTGTGAAGTAGGGGCTTTTAGTTTGGTTTTAGTGTAGACTCTTTAACAGACTTTACTGTAGCGACATATCCAGAAACAACCTAGAATAGCTGTCTTAAAAGCATTTAGGATCACTTTATTCTGGTCGGTAGCGGATATTTAAAAGTATGCAAATCATCAGAACGACTGAAAAACAACGGCCAATAACCACTTTAACAGGCAAAACAACAACAACTAAACACTGTGTAAAAACTGTGAGCAGCACTCTAAACTGTAGCTGTTCAATGAACAGGATTTCAAGGAAGTACAGGAAACATTCAGGAAAAGCTGGGAGTTGATATGGATTTCCAGTTTACTTTAGTTTTACAAGCCGAGAAAGCTGGAAGCTCATGGGTCCAGGTGAGCCTTTCAAAGTAAATGAGCAGTTCACAAGTTGTTAACCTCTGGAAATCAGATCAATTTTACACTTGTTTACAGGTTAAAAAATGGTCTTTTCATGCAATAAATAGACACAGGGGACACCAAATTAAGTGCCAACCTTTGGAGCGGCAGTACTTCCGATTAGAAAAGACCACAGTTACAGTTACTATTATACCACTATAAAAGAAAATAAGTAGGTCCCCCTGAATCATCTACAAATTAAAATGTCAGAAAAAATAGAATAATAAGTGCCGTGGAGGATGTAAGAGTGAGTAAAAAAGAAAAGAAAAGGAAAGGTAGATGTTTATGTAATTGTGTTATGTGTTTCAGGATACAGACACAATGTGGTTGGATTACCACCAGAGCATCACGGACAAATCTCTGCAGGACATGGACATGTACCTCTCTCAGTTTCCTGACATCAAGGTGAGCATGTTTCTGAAAATTAACCACAGGACAAAAACAACTGCTCATGTTGGCTTTTCTAAATAAAAGGTGTTTGTCATACTGTGTTTGAATAAAACGCAGGGTTTGAAAGATGTAATCAAACACCCACTAAACTTGCAAGTGGATAATAAAAATCTGTTGAGTGTGTAGACGCACTGGGATTTAATTTGAAAATCCGCTTTTCTTGAAACTTTAAAAAACTGATAATTTGCTCCTATATTAAAGACATCTCTTACACATGTAAACACTACTTGATGTTGCATGGTGTGCAGTGTGTCCTTAAAATTGAGGAAACTGGACAAGTCGAGGACAAAAGAACAAGTCTCAGATCTAAAAACTGTCTCTGTCCTGTCCGTAAGTTCACTGTTCACTGAAGCCTCATCAGAAATGGTCTCAGTGGAAGGCTGGCTGTCAAGAAGCCATTTTTAATGAAGGCAAACAGGGAGAAAAGGCTGAGGTATGAAAATTACACAAGAGCTGGACTGGATTGAAAATCAGTGGAAACCGATCTGAAGGAGTGATTAATCCAAAGCATTGTCAGTATGTTTGGAGAAGATCAGCAGAGAGGTACAACAGTGCGTGTCTACAGCCATCTGTAAAACACGGTGGAGGCTCTGTCATGGTTTGAGCTGCATTTCAGTCAGTGGTGTTGGAGATCTTGTTAAAATTGATGAATTAAGAACTCAGAAATGTACCATCAGATTTTAATCCACCATGCAAAACCATCTGAAAGCATTTGATTGGCAACAGCTTCAGTTTTCAGCATGATAGTGATATAGTAGTAGTAAAATCATATCTGGAAATAAAAACACACAGTGGCGCACTATCAGTCATGGATTGGCCTCGACAGAGCACGGACCTCAACATTATTGAAGCAGTGTGGGATCATGCTGACAGAGAACAGAACAAATGTTGACATAGAATTGCACAAACTCTGTTTTTGCCCTATATGCTGTATTTACATGTATGTTTGCATGTTTCAATAAACATGTCTCTATTTCCTCACAAAATATAAATAAAATAAGGGCTGAGTTGATACTTTTGCACAGTATTGTATGACATTACACCCTTTAAACATATTTAAAGCTGTGTTCTCCTGCAGGCTCGTATAGCAAAGCGCGACAGGAAGTTGGTGGACTTTGACAGCGCCCGCCATCACTTCACCTCCTTGCAGAAAGGCAAAAAGAAGGATGAGGCCAAGATCGCCAAGGTAACCGTCACTGAGAGTGTGTGCACGTTTGTGTGTGTTTGAGCATGTTTAATGGAACAGTTCAGAGTCTTTGGCTGAAGGTGGACTGACTTTTCTATGTTATATGTAATGGCATCATCAATGTGTGAAGGCAAAAAAGAAATATGTATTTCAGCTGGTAAAACAAAACATAAAATTTCATTTGACCTAATCATATTTTACTGATGTGCTAATCAGCAAAAGTTCCTCTACATACTGCAGGAGCACAGCCTTCACAGAGGGTTAAAAAAACACTGGTCTTTACACCACCTCGAGTCAAAGGATCAAAATGACTGTTTAACTAAATAGCGTTTGTTAAACTCGTGGAACCTCTCGCTAACTAAATCCTAATTAACATGTTTGCATTTGTCTTGAATTCTGGTTTGCTTTCTTCTCCTCCCTCCCTCTCTCTCTCTCTGTCTCTCTCTCTTGCATGGTGTGTGTGGTTAGCCAGCAGCCCTGTTGGAGATGGCGGCTCCCAGCTGGGCTCAGGGTTTGATATCAGCTCACCAGGTGGCTCAGACTAACCTCTCCTACAACCAGGTGAAACTCTGGTTCATCACTGACAACCCCCTCCTCACCTTGAAAACTGTAACCCAGGTCCTTTGACATGATCAGCATTGTGAAGCGTGGAGTTATTTCACAGCAACTTGTGACAGACAAGTCGTCAGCCAGTGAGTCAGCTGGGATTCTCCCAGCATCAGATCGATGCTGCCAGATCTGTCGGATACTGCCGGAGTACAAGAAAAGCAGAGGCCTCTGAGAAAAGTAAACAAAGTCGCAGAACTTGTTACTGTTGCTGCATTTCTCGTCCTCTTAGCACAGTATTGTAGATGGCGTAAAAGATTGAGACCTCAGGTCCTATCCACATAGGTCTTTTGAGAAATGCCACTTCTTTAAATGTTTTAACCTGCATCATCATTGTGTAAAACAAGGATTTTTTCAAAAGTGTATGTGTTTATCTTCTTTTTATACATCAGTCTGTGTGTTGTGTTATTGTTTTTATGCTTCTGATTGGCCAACATTTATATACAGCTTGATTTAGATGGGCACACAGTGCATTGGTGTGCTCTTGTCAGTTCAAATAGCAATTCTTTAGCCAACAGGCATATCCTGGGCGTCTCTTCTTTCTGACTCTAATAGTGACCATAATTTACAATTAATTTGGTGTTTTATGCAGTATGACCTGAGACTAGCGACTGAGA